TGTAAGGTCATTATTTTGACATACTAATTCGTTATTTCGAAATTGTAAGTAATGCTTTGACATAGTATGTCATTTTTCGAAATAGTTGGTGTTTTTCAAACATTTTTCAACTGTTTTAAACATGATGTCATCATTTCGACATAGCAAGTCATTGTTTCAACATGTCATTATTTTGAGACAGCAAGTCATTATTTTGAAATAGTACGTCATTATTTTGACATAGTAAGTCATTTTTCGAAATAGTAATTATTTGAAAAATAATGTGATCATTTCAACATAGCAAGTCATTATCTGAAAACAGCAAGGCATAATTTTGACATCGTAAGGCATTATTTCGAAATGGTAAGTCATTTTGACATAGTAAGTCATTTTTCACAATAATATGTCGAGAAGAGGCAAATATTTCTTCTCTACCTGACGGAAAGGGCTTCCATATATCACCAGCAAAAACATACATCCTATATAAAATATTATTAGATATTAAATATTAAACATGAGCAAATCCGCGAATCTAGGCTGACTTCTCAGAGAGGAACAGTCCAGAGCTTTTTTAAAGCGCACAGTGAAAAGAAAGAGCTGTGGTTTATGACAAATCTGTTCATATTCATATTTCCCCACTTTTACAAAGGGAAATGGTCCCTGCACGACTGTAGCGCGCTCTCTTCATCAGGGCCAGCGCGTCCATATCTGCAGCCTGGCCATCCATCTCTCACTGTCTATCAATTATTGAGGCGGGTATCGATCAGCGCTGCTGCTCCTGCCTAAACCTGTCTCCTAAATCAGCCTCAGCCCGCCAGGTCGGGGCTCCGGAGGAGAACTTTAGGCAGATGGTGATGATGATGATGATGATGATGATGATGATGATGATGATGATTTTTTCCAGCTTATTCGACTGTGTAGATATTTCTCCGTTCTACTTTAATTCGTTTTTATTTGTTTTAGTTTGATCCTCCTTGTTTAGACTCCACACTCTGCATAATTCTCAGAGGGCAAATTTAAAACAACACCTCCATTTTTCGCCAAAGATATTTGATTACAAGAGGGAACGCAGAAGGCACACAATACAATCAATGATTTTCCCCCTTAATCTAAAAAGCCCAAACCCAGAGAGAGAGAGAGAGAGAGAGAGAGAGAGAGAGAGAGAGAGAGAGAGAGAGAGAGAGTGAGAGGCTCCAAAGGGAGAGAGTGCTGAACTGGAATAATTGATAGATGCACTGGCTATCTTTATCGATCGCTCTATTGACCCGACCAAATACATTGAGATGGAGTGTGAAATTCTGCTGATCCGAATTGTTTTTCATACTTAATGCAATCTTTAAATGTCTCTCCCATCTGCGCTCGTCCCTGCCTTCGCGGTCTGCTTTGTGCTTCAGTCTCATTTCTCTTTCAAACCGCATCAGTTTCCTCATACCGCCTGTTAGCTCGTCTACACGCGGCCTTTTCTGGTTACGAATTAAGCAGCTTAGCGCGAATTTTAGCGCTGATTGCAGCGCTCAATGCAAATATAATCATTTTATTTACCATCCAAACTAACAAGTTCTACACCTCGTAGTATTTATTGTCTATGTAACGCTGATAATGGTAAAAAAGTGCCTCGCGCCATGCGCCCTATATCTCTCCACCGGGAATGGATTTAAAATATAAGCTAAAACCTTCTCTCAGAACTATCCTAAAATAATGTCTCAGGTATCAGGCAGCGAATTCATAACCATTTCATGTAGTAACTTTCTGTTAAGGAGCTTTTAGAAGCATTAGACGTTTGGTTCCTATCACCACCACTGTGAACAGATTTCTCTAGAACGGAGCATTTCACACCAAACCACTCTGAATGATTTTAGTTTACATTTATTTGTGCAGACAAATTGAAAAAAAATGTGGAATTTCCCTTTAAGGAAATGTATTATTAGGGGTCCAAGCACAAAAGTGCCTATTATTATTATTATTATTATTATTATTAAACCTAGCTCTCGTGCTTTTTGTAGAACAATGGTACCTGGTCTCCCACTCGCTTCTATTTTTGCATTAACCAGGCAAAACCACGACATTGATTTTTGTGACTGTGATGAATTTGCAATAGTAATTTAAATGTATTGATTGACGTGGCCGAGCGAGTAGCAGGCCTCAGTCTGAAACACACACATACACACACACAGCACCTAAAGCAGAATCACAGGCTTAAATGCACTAAGCCAAATCTGACCAGCTCCAGATGTGCCATTCAATTACTATATCAGCGTATAACCGAATACAGACTGTATAGAACAACTACAGGTGAATGCAAATATGCATATTGCTTATTATAACCGAGCAATAAAAATACTAATAATTATGCCTGATGTTCCCTTCATGGAGCTCTGATTTAAAGCAGCCTCTATGACTCCACTAAAACACTCAGAAGGCAGAAGTCTTAGAGCCTGTCCTTATCTTCAGAGGCTGAACCTCCTCTAGCAAAGCCTCCTGATTTTAATGAAGTGTTAAAAAATCTCGATGGACAATTAGCTTTAACAGCAATGGCACTTAAGGGGACCATTTAATAGTGCTTAAATCTTTATTTACCAGAACGCCCTTAAATGTGCAAAAGGAACAATTTACATTTCATTAAGCGAGACACTGAGTGGAGCTAAAATACGCCTCTATACGGCGCTTAACTGAAGCTTACACTGAAATACGACGCCACACGTCTCCGTGCCAGCTCGTATCAGAGAGACCCCGAGCAGGTGAGACAGTCTTTATACGGGGCTCCACTTTTCACCTACAGCTCGTACGTAAATATTTCAGTGGCATTGAAATGGCCTGAATGTGGCCAATAGATCCGCGCTCTTATTGCATTGATTCTCTTTTAGCGAGGATTTCGATGGCTATCAGGATAAGGAAGCTATTTTGGGGACCAAATTGGTGGATTAACTAAACGGCGAGCCGGGAAAATGTCAAAGCAGTGGACTGTATTAAACAGGCTGTGGTTAAAAATATGGAATGTATGGTTTGAAACATGAGGCTATTGAGTTTGGACAAGCCTGCAGAAATATAATGCTCCAACAAGCAATTATACAATTATACTATAACGTATATGATCAGTCAGATAAGAACAGCACTGACAGTCATTCTGGAGCAAACATTGTAAAATATATATAATGCAATAAAAATGTATAAATAAAAATGTGCAAAGCAATGGATTTATTATAAGCAGTGTTCGCTGTACTGACATCCAGGATTCATCTACAGAAATCCGAACACTGAATTCTGTTGATCTCATTTAATTCTCTTCTACCCTCATTTCTCCTCCTACCCTTTTATTTTTCTTGAGCCAAATTTCTCTATTTTTACACACCAAAAATTATGAATATATACTTTTTTGGGGGGGGGGGCGACCCCAAATTAGCTCTGAAAAAGTCTTGTGACCCACCTTCCTGACCCACCTGACCAGGGCCTTCTCTAATCGACAACACCCCCCCAAGCCTCCAAGACGGTCCACAATTTTGCTCTCTATGAGTTAAGTTTGAGAACTGCTGCTCTGAGCAGATGGGATCAGGTGGAGCACATCTGGAAGGTGGACCTCCAGAATAAAGCGTGGGTGATTCGGACATAAAGAGGACTATTGGGCCATTTAACCCTGTGGGAAACGCTGTGACGTCACATGTAAACAAACTAGACGCGGAACGTCATGTCAGTGAGCTAATAGCAGCTAACTCATTTACAAACCACCCAAAGCCAACAAAAGCATGGCAGGACATTACACACGTCTCTAGCAAAACTACTTAATATGGAACGTAAAAACGCACTACTTGAATTAAAGTAACTTCAGTTATTTTTCGTTGGAGGTTAATTTCGTCCCTACATGTGGAGCTGCACTCTGACATTAGGGAACATTCTAGTGCCCCAGTGTTTCATCTACACCCAGACGTCCTAAAAACTCCCCACATGGTGGTCTAGAGTGCTTATAATAGGCCTCCAGGTAATACGGGACATGTCTATAGAAAGTCAATTGCAAAGCCAACCTTCTATTAAAATGACTTCTGCAGTTTAACTAGTCTATTTACAACCTATTTGCAGTCTATTGCTTATTTAGAACAAAAATACTTGTAAGCATCACCTGAAACTGTACACTGTCAGAAATAAAGATTCTGTGCAGGTACAGTTTTCGTTCATTAAGCTACAAACAATGTAAATGTTCCCTCAAAGGTACAACAGTGGTTTTAAAGTCCAACCGTTAACCTTAAATAAGTTTTTCCAGGTGAAAAGTACATATTTGTACCTTTTCATAACCTAATGTTTTAAAACAGAACAATAAAATAAAAAGGCTGGAGACGAGACGGGGTGTGTGGAGTCAGTACAACCTAGATAATATAATTCCAAAGGATTATGGTACAATTGTATTCCCTGACTAAACGTACTGAGATCCCCGTGAGGGTACCACCCCAGTGACAGTTTACTACCTTTTTTACTGAGGGTGTAATGAGTTTCTTGAAGTGCTCTTATAGGGGACCTAGAATACCTGAATGCACCCAATCTGGGGGGCTTGTGTGCGGTTATAATAGGCCTCCTTTAAATGGAAGCTCTTGTGTTAGTGTAGATTAAACAGACTGTCTTTGACTGGCTGGAGTCTGTTATTGAGTTCACTTAGAAACGGGAACAGAAAGTTTCACAGTGTCTGTTTTTAGGGAGGATTCATATGTTTAGAGGGAGGCTTATATGAGTCAATTTGGAAGATAATATGAAACATCTTAAAAGACAAAGCCATTCTATTCATTTTCCTCTAAAAATGTTTTTGTAATCTAATGAGCCTGATTTGCTGTATTTTGCTTAATAATAAACACTGCACTAGTGTTTATTTAGTAAAAAACACTGCACTAGTGCTTATTTAGTAAATATCAGCTGAATATCATGGAAGACTTTCTTCAGGTGTCCCCTATTACCTGATGGTCCACGCCTACTGCACACAGAACCAGAACTCGAGACATTCATAGAGTAACCCTTTTCTCGGAGCATCTGCTTTTACGCACCTGCGAGCCTGAGGGCGGACATGCGCTGGAACTCGGGCTCCTGCAGCCACTTCCACATCCTCCTGAACGTCTCCCTGCCGGACTTGAGTTTACTCCACGGCTTGGGGTTCCGCAGCAGGTCGGAGAGGGTCCCCTGCGAGCGGGACAGGATCCTCTGCGCGAAAATGGCCTGCGGGATGCTGTACCTCTTCAGCTCGGCCGTTATCCTCTGAGCCACCTCCTTGGTGTCGATCTCCTCCGCTTGACCTCCGCTCCCTCCTCCGCCTCCAGGCGCGTGCCTGTCATTGCCGTGGGAGTGCGAGTGGTGGCCGTGATGCGGGTGGTGGTGGTGGTGACCGTGATGGTGATGGTGGACGCCGTTGAGCGCGGACGCGAGCCCGGGCCCGTGGGCCCCCAGGCCGCCGCGCGCCATGTGCTCGTCCCCGCGGCCCAGCATGGCTGCGTGCGCCTCGAAGCCCCCAGAAGAGAGCAGCTTGTCTCCGTACGCGGCCAGCGGCTGCTGCGCCGCGCCGTGCAGGGCCCCGAGGCCGCTGTTCAGCGGCGAAAGTGACGGTCCCACGGTGGTCATGTCCTTGGCATAGTGGCCGTACAGGTCGCCCACGCTGGCCAGCGCGCGATCGTCACGCATGAGCGTGAAGCTGCCGCTCACGTTGCCGGCCGAGAAGCGCTGGTGCGCGTGCGGGTGGTGGGGCTGGTGGTGCTGGTGCTGGTGGTGGGGATGGTGGGGGAACTTCTCCGACACTGTAGAAATGGGGGGCAGGTGCTGCAGCGGCGTGAGGGTCGTGTACGTGCCGCTCAGGCTCATGCTCGAGTCGCACGGCACGCTCATGGCCGCGTGCAGCGAAGGCTCCGCGCGGTACTCCCCCGCGCCGTCCAGCAGCGACGCCATACCGGACACCATGGCCGAGCGCCCATGCGACAAGCTCCGGTGCGAAGGCGGCGCTCGCGCGTGAGGGGAGCTCATCAGGTCGCCCGGTGGATGCGCGTGCGAAACGGCGTGCAGGTTCCCAATGTTCTCCATGGTGAGCTCCATGATGGGAATGGAAAGACACCCCTAATATTTCTTCTCTCTCTCTCTCTCTCTCTCTCTCTCTCTCTCCTTTCACTCGCTTCCTTTCCAATAAATTTTCAACGATCTCAAAGCCGCACCATCGATCCCAAACCTCCCCGCTCCGCGCGGTCCAGCATCTTTTTTTATTATTGTTACCAGGTCTGGCTGGGGGCTCGCGCGCGCTAGAGCGGCTCTCCGGTCCCGCCGCCGCCGCCGCCGCTGACGCTCAGTCTTAACGCGATACTGCTGCTCGCTGCAGGCTGCGCGGCGAAAATGGGGCCCGGTCTGGATCGCGCGCGATATGAAGACGCGAGTGTGTGCGTGTGTGTATGTGTGTGAAGCCGCACGGAAGCGCGAGCGAGCGCCGTTGTTAGCGATGTTTGGCTCAGACTAGGGGAGCCTGTGACGTCACCTTCGCCGTCCGCCTGTGACAGAAGCTTTAGTGATGATTATTATATTAGAGGAGGAACAGCTTACATTCAGTCAGATGTACTTACTAACAATTTGGATTGATTTGTATTTTTCTCTAAATATTTTTCAATAGAACAGAAACAAAGATTTTACCTGTTTTTATGATTATTATTGGAGTGGATTATAGTGTGACACTGAGGTTTATAGTAGTATTGCGTATTATCGAGGTTTATTATGGGGGTGTGTTTGGCGTGCTGAATTTTTTGGGGTGTGGGTTTGTATAAATTATTGGCGTTTATTAACTGTAGTGCTACATCAGTGGAGTTCATTAATGGCGTGTTTGGATTACTGAAGCACTGTAAATGTACTTTTACAATGTATTAAGCATTTATGAACACAGCAAACTTTAGGAGCTCCCGAGTGGTGTAAAGCGTTCACTTCACCATCAGGAGCTCATCTGTTTGAAAACCGAATGATGCCACAGCCATCCATAACTGGGAGCCGTACAGGAGAAAGGGCCTGGTGGGATTGTGCAATGGAGTCCCAGCTAGTGGGGAAAATGGGTTTAAAAAATCTATATTGTTTACCTAACTGAGCCGCAGAAAAAAGGAGAACTTCTGACTATTATCTTTTAATTTTAGGTTGAGCTGCTTTTTTACATTTCTTATTTTTGCAGTGTTTGCAGTAATGATTTGTGTGCATTATGAGTGTTTATGAATTATTGTGGTATAAGTGTTTATGAATTTTTGGGATGTGTTATTGGTGTGCAATAATTATTGGGGTTTGTTATAAGTGTTTATGAATTCTTGGAGTGTGTTATTAGTGTGTATTCATCATTGGGGTTTGTTTTAATTGTTTATGAGTTATTGGGGTGAGTTATTGGTGTGTGTTAATTATTGGGGTTTGTTTTAATTGTTTATGAGTTACTGGGGTGTGTTATTGGTGTACATTAATTAATGGGGTTTGTTATAAGTGTTTATGAATGATTGGGGTGTGTTATTGGTGTACATTAATTAATGGGGTTTGTTATAAGTGTTTATGATTGATTGGGGTGTGTTATTGGGGATTCCTCTTTGGGCGCGTTCATGACTGTCCTCTGATAAAGCTGCTCAGGCTGGCGCCAGGATCTCATATCTAAACGAGTTAAACATTGACGGATTTCCCAACATGTTTGCCAAATTCCTTCTGAACGATATGAAATCACGAGCTCCTTCCCATCATAGAGCTAACTGCGTGTGGAAACATGGGAGGCCTGAGAAGAGCGGAGGTGGAAGCCTGAAACCACGCTGCAGTTATAGTATTGTTACAGCAATGACTCTGCAAAATAAGTGTTTTAAAAAAATGACTGATTTAAAAATCTCCTCCAGTCCTGAGAGCCCTGAAGAACTGCAGTGGAATCCAGCAACTATCAGCACAGGAACTGAAGTTTGTTAGGCGGCCCTCTTCTCTGTTCGTCTCCTTTTGGTCTGAAATAAAATGCTACAGGTCGAAAATGAGAGCTCAGCAGCAAAACAGCCCAACAGCTGAACCAGAAGAACAGACATTAAACCCAAAAAGAGATTAGAAACTCAATGGAGCTGATCAAAAAGTGTTATCGTAACTCCCTCAGAGTTGAGCTCCTCTTGGATATTAGTTTTACTGCAGTTTTCCACTGTTCGAGGCTCACCGCTGTTAAAGCTCTGAGTTTTTTCCTCTCTGCTGGAGTTTCTTCTTCCACTCCAGCATTCTATCACAGCAGTCTTTCTACAGGCTTCAGTTATGTTTCTTCCTTCTTTCTGATCGTTATTCCTTCTTTCCGGCGTTTACTCATGTCTCTGTTGTAGCTTTATTTCTATTGTCGCCAACTTAGTGCATCAGTTGCAGTTCATCTTGCCAATTAATGGACTGTTCATCATTCAATAAATACACGGAGAGCGGTGTAAAACAGAGCTGCGGCAGGAATGAAGATAGAGATGAGAGGAGGCCTAATTATAGCTGGGAGGATACAAACCAACCAAAAGAGGAGGAGAAATTATGCTTTAATGAATTAATTCATGTATTTATTTATTTATTGCACATATTTATTTTACTTTTAAAAGGTCTTAATTAAATTAAAAGATCTTTTCTTTTATCACTGACACCTGATCATGATATCGACGATAAACCTGAATTGTGACTCCAAGAACTTCTCTTTCTTTCTCCGTTAATATACATATGTGTGTGTGTGTGTGTGTGCGTATATATATATATATATATATATGTATATATATATATATATATATATATATACCCATTTATGCATTCAAATGGTTCCTTGAAAGTTAATGGTTCTGAATAGCACCTAAAGAACCCTAGAAGAAATATATCATAATATGACACACACACACATTCATGGTATACTTACGGTTCTATGGTTAAATGCATGCGTAAATGGTTCTATGTATGACGAAAAAATAGCTGTATATGGTTCTTTAAAGAACCTTTTAAAAATAGTTCTTTACAGCACAAAAATGGGTTCCATTATACTGTAACAATAGATTGTTACCAGTCAAAGAACGCTATATAGAGTGTGCATATATATATATATATATATATATATATATATATATATATATATATATATATATATGTGTGTGTGTGTGTGTGTGTGTGTGTGTGTGTGTATGTGTGTGTGTACTTTAGGCAATGTTCTATGTAGAACCGTTTCTCATTTTTCTAAAAGAACTAAGAACTAATTTCTAAAAGAATGTATAATACTATTATCATAGTAAAGAACCATTAAATATTTTGCATTCAAACTTTCTCAGTTCTTCGGTTATTCACGGTTCACGGATACAGCAGTTAACTATTACAAACTGCTTATTAATTAAACTGATTGATTTCAGCGCGTTACTAAACGACAACGGACGAACACAAACGAAACAATACACACTGTGCCAAACTCTGCACTGCTTCACGTTTCAGGTCTGAGCCATTGTCACTTTAAACAGGCCTGCATTTTGCTGTAAGCTTAAACACAGGCCCACCGTTCAGGCCCACCGCTGAGGCCTGTTTGACTGTATCTGCATGTTCTTAGGGCTGCAGTATGGAGTCTGTTTGGGCCTGCAGCCTGCAGCCTGCCTCAGAGAGGGAATCACACGCTTCTGGCCCACATGTCTGAACAAAAGCAGCATTGATTATGGCATTGATTAGTCATCCGCTACTCACCGAAATCATGCTTTGCTGCAGAATCACTGAACGGAGTTTAATGGCGCCCACTGAACTCTTAGCACAGCGCCACAGCACACACACATTTAAGGAGAACGACAGAAATCAACTACAGAAACTTCTGCTCCTCATACAGCGCGTGACCTCTTTATACATTCATACAGAGGACTGACGAGATCGGAAGCAATCATAATCGATTAGGGGAGCAAATCAGGCTCGAACACATCATAAATAAGCACATTTATTTATAATCAATCTTACATACTTGGTAACTCGGGCATTTGAGTATTTAAACAGACGAAACAATTTGTGGTGCAAACAAATGATTTAATTCGTTAAATCCAATTCAGTTCAACCATCAAACCTACAAAAAACAACAATAATGCAATCAGAAAAATCTGAAATAAAATATGAAAATGGTATAAATGACGCCAGAGATACATAAGTGAATATATGTGCATTAATCTTACAAAAATAATGATTTATTGTGTACATTTTAATTTAAAATTTTGTTCAGAACAAGATAGTTAAGGATGCAATCTACTGATGAGGCACGAGCACGAGCACCTACACACATTTACAGAGCGGAGAAATTAAGGATTTCAGCGCTGGACAATACAGTTAAATACATAACATTAACAGGACACATTCTGACTTAATTTGCCTTCAGATAATCTGCAGTGGGGGTTTAAAGCAAATGAAGGCTTTATGTGAGAATGTAGGCCTCAGTCTCTCTCCACAACATAGAGATCTGCAAACTTTCTGCAAAATGATGAGCAACTGAAAATAAACGGAGCACTTTCTGACAGACGGCAGATCAAAGCTGGTCATCTTTAACACGCATTACTGTTGCGGGGGGATGCATATTTCTTGGTGCTTATAATTTCTGTTCAGTTCTGCTGCACATCAACCATTTACAACTGTTATTCACCTTTCAAACTGCACTTCATTTCAGATTTAGATGTCAGATTTTCAGTTCAGATCGCAGATTTCAGGTGATGGGCTCTAGAAAAAAAAGTAAGCTTGAATTATTTCGATCAAGCGCGCGCACGAAAAGAAGATGAGAAATGAGACAGTAGTTTCGTCTTCATCTTATTAAAATGAAGAATCGTGGCCCATTAGCAGCCTTTCTCCTCACTACTGTAAATAACTAACAGCTCAGTGAAGATGTTCATGAAGATTTGGCTTTGATCACAGCCCTTAATAATAGATATACATGAGTAATTCGTTCCTCTGTTGTGAATAAATTCATAATAAATTCAATAATTTCACGCGGCGCTGTTTATGACGTTACTGTAATAATCCTAATATTAATAAATAAGCAGGGAGCTGGTTTTCTTTCAGCAGTGAAGGAGAGCAGGTGTGTGTGTGTGTGATAGAGACCTGTGTATGTTAAGAAGATCTACGGCCCTTCAAGCCTGATCGATAGATCTGCATTCTGATCGATTAG